CAGTTTAGAATTTGCCCAAGCCAAATAGACAGGTCAGGTGGATTAGAGCGAGCTCAGGCTGGCAAATCCCAAGGGGAGCAGGTGTTTTGTTTGGCGTCTCTGCCCGAAAATCCCGCGCCACAAACATTCCATAATCCAGGGCGGCCGGCGGGGTCTGGCAGGGGAGGACGGTGGGCAAGGCAATGCTGTGTCTTTAATTTTCTTTTGCGAGGGAAGCAAAGTCTGCAGAGCCATGACAGGCTCACTTGTTCAGCCTTTAATGCGCGTTGGGTTTTCTCCAGTGGAGGGCACTCGGTGTTGCACAAACTCCAGCCTCGGCACCCACCAGCTCCGGAGCATCATCGCTCTCTGGAAAGCCTCGGAATTAGACGAGAGCTGCCTCTCAGCACAGCTACAAAACACTTTAAACCCGACCGGCTAAATGGATAAGCCGAGCCTGCGGGGCTGCTAAAGCGGGCTCTGGGCATAGCACGGGCGGCCCTGCGTGCTCCGGGGGAGGATGGATCGCTGTGCCCGGCCATGGCAAGAGGCAGCGCAGGGATGAGGGATGCCAGGCGCCGGCAGAGCTTCGCTCCTTCCTCCCAGACAAGTTGGTTCGCCTCCATCGCCTGCTCCGGCTTTTCTCGCCGATTGCCACTTCACGCCGCCGGCTCTCTGATGACTTCCACAATGGCTCTCAGAGCTTAGAGTCCCTCCCTACCCCCCCACACTCCCCCCATCCTTCGTCCTGCCTTCCCCACCCCCAACCCCTTCCCTATCCTTTCCCTTCCTCATCCCCAAAATTCTCGCCGGTCCTCTCCGGGGAACTTTGTGGGGTTCCTGGTGGGCAAGCTGGATGGCGGCGGGGCGAGTGCCAGCCGGGCTGTGACATGAAGATGCTGCTGGGTTAAAGCAAAGGAACCGGTTTGGAAAAAAAAAAAAAGAGAGAGAGAGAGAGAGGCGAAGGGAAAGGAAAAAACAGCTGGAGGAAGGCGAAGGAGGACGTTATTGATGACAAAAGGATGGGTGAGTGAACTTTTGTGGTTTGTTTGCTGGCACAGCTGCAGCTGTGGGGTGGATTTTGCAGCTGGATTATTCGGCGGTGGCGGGGGGGCAGCGGGAGGCAGCAGCAGCAGCGCGTTCCGCTGCCAGGTGACTCAGACTCACTGTACTTGCCTTTGTATTTTTAGCCCTTGTCCCCCTCTCCAGGCACACGCACACACACCTTTCCTCCTCAGCCGGGGGTGAATTCCTGCCCCGAGCGAGGCCAAGCGATTCCTGCCCCCCGAGCAAAGCCCCTGTGCCCCCCACACCTGCGCGGGCTGTGCCCGGCTCCCCAAATTCCAGCCGGCTTCACCCCCCGATCCCCCGGCACAGCCGGGCTGGCGCTAACACTTCTCAGGATGTGGGAAGCAAAGGGGAGGGAGGGGGGAGTTGTTTCTTGCATAGGTGGTTTTGAAGAGGCTGAAAAGATGCCCCTGGTACCTCTGCTACATTTCCAGCAGTCATTTGCCAGTCGGGTTTTTTGTTTTTTTGGTGTTTTTTTGTTTTTTTTTTTTTTTCCGAGTGTGACAGGTTTATTCCCCTCCTTCCTTCCCCCCTCCCCAGCCCCCGAGTCTGTAACAGCCAGAACATATATCTAGAGCTGGCTGCTGCTGGCAAAGAGGACGGAGCAAAAAAAATGAGGATTTAAATTACAAAATCTACCCATGAAAGTGGAAGGCAGGGGCATTCTAGATCAGGAATCATTTTTTTGCAGATTGCCCCTTGCTTTAAAATTGGATTAAAGACCTGCAGCACTGGGTTGGTTTTGTGTGTGCGTGGCAAATAATAAGGTGATTATTTATCAAGGAGATATGAGCCCTTGAAATATTTCCTGTTGGAAGAATGCATTTTCATTCTCAGCAAGGCTGCAACTCTGGACAGAGGCAGCAGCCCTAAAATTATTCCAGGCGTGCAGATGGGTGTTGGGGATTCTGACACCCCCTCCACGCCCTCTCATAATTATTCAGGATTCTATATATTCAATTATTACATATGTCCTCACATCCAGCGCTGCTGCTGCATGACAAACATGACATCTTAAAGGCAAACCCTGAAAATCAGTCAGGAGAGAGGAATTGAAAGAAAAGCATCCCCCTTTAAACTTTCTGGGTTTGCTGCTATCTGGAAGTGTTGGGGTGGGTATTTTCATCATCTGCTGGATTAATTCAAATTAATAATGGTTTAGGTATTCACGGCCATATGTGGATAAGTTTAAATGAACGTGGGTTGAGGCAGTGGTTCATTTGAAAGGAATACAACTCCTTTTTTTACCTGGCATTGGGGTCCCATGCCAGCATTCCTGGTACACTTCTCTGTGTGGATGAACTTTGTTTCTCTGCATCTATTTCTGTATTTTAGGTACACAAAACCCACGAGTTTTACTTAAACCTACTCTTAAACCCCAATCACTCAGTGCAAAGAGTAAAACCTTTAAACTGAGTGCCTCATTTTACGATAAATACACATTATAAAGATGGATCAAACTTCAGCAGAAGTGGATTTCACTCTTCCTGGGGTGATTTTGGGGGGGACTGCACTTGCAGTTGCTCTCCTTGAGGAACACGTTGAGCAGCACGTAGGAGCAGAAGCTCTGGCTCATTTCCTCTCCAGCACTATGGAGCATCCAGCACAGTGACTTGACAAATATGTTTATTGTTCAAAGCTCGGCACGGAGCGCTGAGTGAGGACGCCCCAGCTCCCGGGAGAGCCGGGGGACAGGAGCACAGCCGGGAGGGAACCGGCTCCCGGTGCTCCTGGGGGCGTCTGGAGGTGATGGGGGCAGCAGAGACGGCCAGACAGGCGCTGCAAGGACGGCGATTTGCACCACAAAGGGTCGAGGCAGGAGGAGAACAGGTTGTCTCCTAAATCCCCTCTGCCCGGCTCGGGCTGCCCCCGAGCCCCCCAGCGACGCGTAATCCGCTAATTTATCTGCAAGGCTTTCCAATGGCCCTTTTTCCTTTGGGATGTTGCAGGTTTCCATGTAATCAAGCAGCGGGGAGGCTCCGGGGTGCTGCTGGGGCTGCTTCCCCTGGCGCTGCTGTTGGGGCTGGCGGGTGCCCAGCGTGCCTGCCCCAAGAACTGCCGCTGCGACGGCAAGATCGTGTACTGCGAGTCGCACGCCTTCCGAGACATCCCCCACAACATCTCCGGCGGCTCCCAGGGCTTGTCCCTGCGCTACAACAGCATCCAGAAGCTCAAATCCCACCAGTTCGCCGGCCTCAACCAGCTCATCTGGCTGTACCTGGACCACAACTACATCAGCTCCGTGGACGAGGACGCCTTCCAGGGGATCCGCCGGCTGAAGGAGCTGATCCTGAGCTCCAACAAAATCACCCACCTGCACAACAAGACCTTCCACCCCGTGCCCAACCTGCGCAACCTGGACCTGTCCTACAACAAGCTGCAGGTGCTGCAGGCGGAGCAGTTCAAGGGGCTCCGCAAGCTCCTGATCCTGCACCTGAGGTCGAACTCGCTGAAAACCGTCCCCATCCGCGTGTTCCAGGACTGCCGCAACCTCGACTTCCTGGATCTGGGCTACAACCGCCTGCGGAGCCTGTCCCGCAACGCCTTCGCCGGCCTGTTGAAGCTGACAGAGCTCCACTTGGAGCACAACCAGTTTTCTAAGATCAATTTTGCCCACTTCCCGCGGCTCTTCAACCTCCGCTCCATTTACTTGCAGTGGAATAGGATCCGCTCCATCAGCCAGGGCTTGACGTGGACATGGAGTTCCTTGCACAACTTGGATTTATCGGGCAACGACATCGCAGGGGTAGAGCCCGGCACCTTCCAGTGCCTGCCCAACCTGCAAAAGCTGAACCTGGATTCCAACAAACTCACCAACATCTCGCAGGAGACCATCAACACGTGGATCTCGCTCATCTCCATCACTCTGTCCGGGAATATGTGGGAATGTACTCGAAGCATTTGCCCCCTGTTTAATTGGCTTAAGAATTTCAAGGGAAATAAGGAGAGCACCATGATCTGTGCAGGCCCCAAACACATCCAGGGCGAGAAGGTGAGCGACGCTGTGGAAACCTACAACATCTGTGCCGAAATCCAGGTGGTGGCTACTGAAAGGTCCTACCAGGCTCCCAAAACCCCTCAGAGACCCGTGCTCATCCCCAAACCCACCGTTTCCAAACTGGAAAGCCACCAGCCCACATCCGCCGCGCCGAGCCCTTCCGCAGACACGCCGACGGCCGCGGTGGAGCCGGAGTACGAGCACGTGTCCTTCCACAAGATCATCGCGGGGAGCGTGGCCCTCTTCCTCTCGGTGGCCATGATCCTGCTGGTCATCTACGTGTCCTGGAAGCGTTATCCCGCCAGCATGAAGCAGCTGCAGCAGCACACGCTCATGAAGAGGCGCAGGAAAAAGGCCCGGGAGTCGGAGAGGCAAATGAACTCCCCTTTGCAGGAATATTACGTGGACTACAAGCCAACAAACTCTGAGACCATGGATGTATCCGTTAATGGATCTGGGCCCTGCACCTACACCATCTCTGGCTCCAGGGAATGCGAGGTATGAACCATGATCCTCCTAAAACCATTTCAGCTGCTGGGAAGGAGAGGTAAATGTTCGAAGCTCTTGAGGTATCTCTGAATATTAGAAAGATTAATGAGATTTTGTTCTTTTTTTTTTTTTTTTTTTTTTTNCTCCAGGGAATGCGAGGTATGAACCATGATCCTCCTAAAACCATTTCAGCTGCTGGGAAGGAGAGGTAAATGTTCGAAGCTCTTGAGGTATCTCTCTTTGGTAGAAAGAACAATGAGATTTTGTTCTTGTTCTTTTTTTTTTTTTTTTTTTTCCTTCCCCTGCTTTGGGGTTTGCTCTGTGCAAGGTTCTCTCGCGTTAAATGACAACAGGCAGGGAAGGGATGGTGATTATTTTGAATAATTAAGACTTATTAAAAAAGCGATTAAGTTGGAGTCAACAACTGTGATAAAGGCATCTGGAGTGTTGTTCTCCTCCGGTTTGCACCCATTTGATGAGCTGTGGCTACAAGAGAATCCTATTTTTAGTGGATTGGTAGAAACAGAGGAGCTTAAGAGCTTTTTCTGGTATAAAACTAAGTATGGAAACCTCTTTTCTCCAGACCCCACATCAAATCTTGAGGGGTTTATGGCCTATTTAATGATAATGCCAAAGATTTCCTGCATTTCTGATCTGGTTCTGGAGCAAACCAGAGGACAACAGGACTGCAGCAGGATCTTGGAGTTGTTTTTCCTTGGAGCAGGAGCACAGAGGCTCCTCTGGACGTGAGCCTTTGTCAAACAGCACATTTGCAAATGTCTGGGTTGGGAGAAGGGGATTCCTGGAGGGTTTAATTTCATTTCAGTGATCAGTGGAGGCGTAGACAGCCCTGCTGGAGTTGATTTCCACAATCTTCAGGCCGTGTCAGGATCTGACCCAGCAACACAGGAAGCACAGTCAGGAAAAGCTCTCAGCACTTCTCTTCTGCCGTCCGGCTTTGCAAGGAAATTCCAAATTGTTTTGTTGCTCTCCTGCCCATGACTCCCCTGCTGTGGATGCAGGGGATGGGTTTGCTTGGAATGCTGCTGCTTGTTTAGAGCTGGCAAAGGAGGATTTGCACAATTCCACTGCAGTCCTGGTCCCTTAATCCTGCTGAGATGTGGCACCAGGTGGACTTTGCTTCCTTGGCTGGGGATGTTCTGCCTGAGAGTGTTTCCTGTGCCTGTTGGAGTTTATCCCACCCTTTGTGCAGGCTGGGGTTGGCTGTGGGAATTCTGAGCCCTGGCTTTGGCACCCGGGTGCTGTGGGAGGTGTGGTGAAGATGAGCAGAGATGAGAGATCACAGATCTGCAGTTCTGGGATCTGGATTGTTCCAAACCCAACGTTTTCACCCTCTGACAATGGGGCGCCTCTGAGATGTTTCATATTTGGCACCTGAAATCCCCAGGTGGTTTTGGACTGTGGAGTGAAGGGGAAGGAAGAAAGATGCAGGGGTTTGGGGTTGCTTTCTCTGGAACAATGTTGTGTTCAGAACAGAAAACCTCCTGCCCTGTCCCTGTCATCGCTCCAAGAAAACACAGAATTAAGGTGTGTGGTTTGGTTTATTCACTGGTACCAGCACAAGTAGGAAATGAATGATGTTCAAGCTCTGTTGAATTTCCCCTGGCTGTCACAAAGAGCTTTGGAAGGCTCTGTCCCATTCCCACTCAGCTTTAACACCACTGAGGTTTCATTAGCTTGACTAAAATGTTGTTTAATTTATTCCATGGTGGTAAACAGATGAATGTGCACATCATAACTGAGCATCCAGGTAATGACACCATCATCCCTAATGCATTTTGGATCACAGAAGGTAGGGATGATGTTTGGGAGACTGGAATTCGGATCATTGGGATTACAGCAGGTAATGACAAGGTCCAAGAGGTGCAGTGTGGTTTAATTCCCCCAGTGGTTGTTACACACAGCACTCAACACCAGGGGACCCCAGCTCACCTGGGCTCCAGGTGCTGTGGCAGCACCAGAACGGTTTCATTGGGGTGAAATCAAACCGATGACAACTCTGCAGGACCGAGGGGGGGTCTGTGGTCCCCCTGGGTGTAAATCAGCCTGTGCAGGATGCCCCAGAGCTGTGTCTGACAGGTCACTCTGTGTTCGTGTCGTTCCTGAACATCCAGTGGCTCTTTGCATGCTGTTAGAGACTAATAAATAAGAGAGAATAATAAAGACTTCAGGAGATGGAAAGCAGATCATTGAAGGCACATGTAGCAACCCAAAGCCCCCACTGAAATCCTGTCTTCAGCTTGGATTTGACATTCTGCGTCTCCATAGCTACAAGGTTCCACTTGTAAAAGGAGAGATATTCACTGTACAGCACTTAAAAATGGTAAAAAAAAAACCCTTGTAGAGTCTTCAGCAGTGGAAAGGGTTTGTGTTTGGTGAAAAAAAATAGGAAATGGGACCTCTCTTTATTTCCCAATTTACCTGTACTTGTGGAAAACGATTGTTTTGTGCAGGTGTGATGCAGCTCAGGCCCATCCTCCACCGGGGCTGCCTGGCTCATTCCCTGTGCTCAGCCTGAGGTTTCTCCCAAAAAAAGAAGCCCTCCGAGGAGAAAGGAGTGCCTGGATACCTGTGTGAGGGCAGGCAGGCTCCGGGACTCATTGCTCAGCAGTTGATGGATTTTATTTCTTTTAGCAATGTTTTCCAAAGTATTGTCTGCTCTCGTGTTCACCCCCCGTGCCTGGGGGCAGCTGAGGGTCCACAAATGGTGTGGGTTTGGGAAAGGACGGTGGAGCAGTTCCACCTGAACTGGGACAGGAAGGAGATGCTCGATCAGACACTGCAGTGGGTGCTGGGGTGGTTTTTGAGGTCAGGCGAGCAGAGCTGGGACCTTCCCAGGGATCATTTTGGGTGTGGAAGCCTCCAGCTCATCTCCCTAAACCACCCATTTCCACGGCAGAACTGGCCTGGGAACAACGTGCTGAGATATTTCCACGGCTTCTTTCCTCCACAGCAGCTCCGGGGACGGCTTTGTTTTAAAATTCCACGAGGTTCTGAGCATTCAGCAGAGACCCACAGGTGAGAGCTGCCCTGGAGCAGGTGCAGCTGTGCTTTGTGGGGCTGCTTTTGCCAGTCCCTGCTTCAGGAATGATTCCTTGTGCTGGGGAGAGGGAGCCAAAGGCAGGCTGGCTGCAAACAGGAGCGACTTTGGCAGCAGTGGGATTATAATCACTGACACCTGGCCTGGGCTCGTCTCTTTAGTCTCTTGGCAAGGCTTGCTAAAATAACTCTGGATGCTCCCGATTTTGGCTCTGGCCATCCAGTTAGCAGAATGCTGCTCCACTCAGCCTGGGATTTGCTTTGTGCATCTCCCTCCCTCTCACTTTCCCGTTTATTTGTGCGTTTGCTGGAGATCTGGAAGCTGTAAAAAGGGATTTCATGAAGCCAGCTATGGTATTCTGTATTTCGTGCGTGTCACACTCACAGAATATCTGGGAATGGCTGGCTGGGAAGGTGCTGTGGGGAGAAGGAAAATGTTTCTGTCTCCTGGAAGGTCATTGCTGTCCCCTTTCCCAGGCTGGCAGGGACAAAACAAACACCAGGCAGACAGGTGAACAGCTTTTTTGTGTGAACTGAGCACTGTGAGGTCGCTTTTTACACCTCTCCTTCTCCATGTCTGGCCATACCCCGTGGATAAACAGCCACCTGTTCACACACAGGGACACAGGAGTGCAAACAGGGCTGGTTGTCACTGGTTTCACACGTTTTAAATCAGACACACACAGTCACCTTCAGCTGGAATTCTGCTCCTTCCCCTCTTTCCATTGGGAAGAAGTACATTGAGAAAGGAATTAAACATATGCAGCCTTGGTGGGCTGCTGCAGACCTTCTTCTGAGCTTAATTTGAAGGGAAATGTTGGCATGCTGCTTTTATTATTTATTTATTAAACATCGTGGTGCTGCTTGGAGCAAGAAGCAAAGAGGATAAACCAGAATATTTCCATCTCCAGAGAGGGTTTAGGGTGAGGTTTCAGTTCTGTAACTCAGCATTAAAAGGGGTGTCCTGGGAGCCCAGCCTGAGCTCAGGGGGTGTTGTGACCTCATGGGACAAATCACTGAAGGACTGCCTGAATTTTACATTTTTAAAATTCTTTTAAGAGCAGTGGCTGCATTTCCTTTGGTCACCAGCCTGAGGGGTTTGTGAGAAATGCTGAGCAAGGACCCCACGGCTGAGCTGTGAGCCCATCAGAGCCTGGGGGAGTGGAAAGGGAGATCCCACAGGTGGGAGATGGCAAAGAGCAGGACCTGGAGGAGAGGAGGGAGGAGAATGGGAGCAGAAACTCTTCATTAACCCTTTGTGCTCGCTGCAGGGCCAAAGCACCGGGGGTTCCTTTCCAGGGACCCTTCTGGGACACAGCAGGACGAGCAGTGTTAACTTTGTGAACTTTCTGCTCCTTCCCTCCTCTCTTCCTCCAGCCCTCCGTGACTGTGGAACCCAGGTTGGTGTTGGGCTGTGAGCTGAGGGTGGATCAGCCCAAGGCAAGTGTCCCAAGCCCTGGGTTTGAATGGGGAGGGTCAGGAAAGGAGAAGGTGGCAGTGCTGCTCCTCAGAGCTCTGCCCACGGGAGGAGCAGCTCAGAAGGGACCCAGAGAAGGCACATTTTAGAAATCCTTGAATCATAAAATGGTTTGGATGGAAGGAACCTTTAAAATCACCCAGTGCCACCCCCTGGCTTGGGCAGGGACCTTCCACAGCTCTGCATTGCTCCAAGACCCAGCCTGGCCTTGGACATCCCAGGGATGGGGCAGTTTTTACCTCTCCGAGCCTTTATTTGCCCTTGGTGTTGCAAATATAACCCCAGCCCAAGGGGAGCTGTGCTGGAGAGGCACCAGCGATGTAGCAAGAAATGCACAGGGGGCAAAATTTCCCTGGGCTCAGCACTTGTAAAGTGTGAGAGTTCCCAAAGATGTTCCCAAAATTGACTGGCCGTGTTTCCGGCGGAGCTGAGCCAGCTGTGCCTCCTGCAGCAATTGAGGGCTGCAAATTTG